AGAACGTTTTGCTTTTTGCTGCTTGCCTTCTCTCTCGCTGGTGAGTTCGTCTTGCTGTAGACTGAAGACTAGCCGATCTTTTGGAATTTGTCAGACCTTCAGCTCCAGAGTGGGACTACTGAGACATCCAGCCTTGTGGACTGAGTGACTACGGATTCTCAATCTCTCCAGTGTGGTGAACCCATTGTTGGACTACTCAGACTCTATCCTGTGAGCTAAGCTGATAAATCCCTATACATATATATTCATTCTACCGGTTCTGTTTCTTTGGAGAACCCTGACTGATACATATGGGTACAGGAAAATTTGGTGGGGAAGTAGTAAAGGGGGTGCAGATAGGTGAGGGGCCTCTAAGTACGATCAAGTATGAAATTAGAAAAAATTCAATTAAAATGGCTATTCAAAGTACTGCTAATAGTAACACCAAGATGAAAAGATGCACTTAAAATCTTAGAGTATAATCACACATAAATCAAAAGAAAGATTAACAAAATTAAAGCATTCTAAAATCCTAGTTTTGTACAGGAGAAAGAATGATATGGATTAATTTCATATTTTAGACACTGATAAATCAAGCACACATTTTAATTTAAAATGATAAAATCAGGGGCTGGAGAGATGACTCAGCAGTTAAGAACACTGGTTGTTCTTTCAGAAGACCCGGGTTTGAATCCCAGCACCCACATGACAGCTAACAACTGTCAGTCTCAGGGGATCTGACAGCCTCTGCTGACCTCTGCAGGCATTGCACATCAAGGGTGCACTTACCTACATGCAGGCAATACACACATACACATAAAATAAAAATAAAAAAATTTTAAGTGATAAAATAAAAGTAAAACATATAACCCAAGAAAAACATGAATTAAGAAAAATTTAGTAAATTTAAAAGAAAGGGTAAATCGATAATTAGAACATCTGAAAAGAAACCAAATGGACAGATTTAAATCTGTCACAGTGCTTTCATGCTAGTGGAGGGCAGATGCCCAGCTAACAGGTGAAGTGAATTCATTGGTAATTTCATACAGTGGTACATACAATGAAGAAAAATCAAGTATGGTAAATAATTAGCTGGTGCCCAGGAGGAGACTATTTCTAGATTAGGGGAGATCTGAGAGAAAGAGAAAATAATAAGGACTCTCTTTTTCATCTTGTGAAATAAGTTGAAAAGAGAATGACCAGCCATGTGACTGAGAAGAGGCCATCAGGGAGTGGGAGGAAAACCAGAGAACATGGCCCATAAAGGTATTTCCAGGCGGGCATGACCAACTCGAAAACTAAGGCTTCCTACTTAGTTTGCTACACTCATCCTACCAGACCTAGAGAGCACAGGCAGTAGCAGGCTCAGTGTTGAGCTACCATAGTCTCTTTAGTGCAACAGAGACCTGCAGAGAACAGCGGCTGGGTGCAATGACTGACACTAGAGTATCTGAGGTCGATGCTTTCTCTCTCTCTCCTTGTGAGCTGACTGACTCTGGGCTAGCTGTTTTGCCTCTCTGTGCTTTAGTTTCCCTGTGTGTAAAACGAAGATAGTGGCATTTGTGCATTCTGGGTGTTGTGACGAAATGAATTTGGTGGGGTTTTTTTTGTTTTTTTTTTTTTTTGTGAAATAGGGTCTCACTATGTAGCCCCAGCGGGCGTGGAACTTGCTATGTAGACCAGGTTGGCCTCAAAGCCACAAAATTCCACCTGCTTCTGCCTCCTAGTGGTAGGATTAAAGGCATGTGCCACTATGCCCAGCTTGAATTAATATTTTTAAAGCACTTAGGCTATACCTGGCATGAAATAATCATCACACACTTCTTCCTTAAAAAGAAAAGCCAGCTGGGCGTGGTGGCCCATGCCTGTAAGCACAGCATTTGGGAGGCAGAGGCAGGTGGATCTCTGAGTTCAAGGCCAGCCTGGTCTACATAGTGAGTTCCAGGACAACTGGGGCTACAGGGAGACCCTGTCTCAAAAAGACCAAACAAAAAAAAAAAAAAGAAAGAAAAGAAAAGCCACAGGCTGGAGAGATGGCTCAGCAGTTAGGAGCACTGGAGGCTCTTGCAGAGGTCCCAGGTTCGATTCCTAGCACCCACATGGTGGCTGGCAACCATCTGTGACTCCAGTTCCAGGGGATCTGATACCCTCTTCTGACCGCTGCAGGTATTGGACGGGATAGGTGTACCTACTTATGTGCAGGCAATACACTCATACACTTAAAAATAATAAAAAAATTTAAAAATCCCTACAGCTGCAAAGTTACAAAAGACAACTTTGCATGTAAGCACCTATTTACAGCTGGGCAGGTGCGGTGGCACACACCTTTAGTCTCAGCACTCTGGAGGCAGAGGCTAGCCTGGTCTACATAGTGAGTTGGGACTACAGGGAGACCCAGTCTCAAACACACACACAAAGGAAAGGCTGTGGTTTAATAGAGTGTTTCTGTCAAGTTGACAAGGGGTCAATTGTGTTGGACAGCTTCAGTTAACTTGACACACCTGGGGTAGAGGGACCCTCAACTGAGGAATTACCTTCATTGGATTAGCCTGTGGCCATATCTATGGGGCACTTTCTTGATGAGTGATGACAGAGCCCGCTCTGGGAGGTGCCACCCCTGGGCAGGTCATTCTGTATTGTACAAGGAAGCAGGCTGAGCACAGGCCTGAGCAGCAAGTCAGTAAGCAGTATAACATTCTGAGCCAGGCATTGTTAGACACCAGGAACACACAGGTGAATGTGCATTGTGGGGACTCAGGTTTGTTTGCTTAGCGGGGGGCCTGCTGGCTTCGGGGCAGAGGGCCTGATCGGCGACAGAGTCAAACTCTGGGACCTGTGTCTTCCCAACAGGACGATTTATTTTAGAATTTATATGGTTTTTATACATCCCAAGGAACTAGCAGTCACGTGGGATATGATAGTCACATACAAAGATTTAGGGTACAAAGTACAAGGACATTTAGTCTGTTAGTTGGCACCAGGAGTCTTAAACTTTTACTCAAGGTTATCAATGCCCATCCAGTAATTTATTGGGCACAATGTTTTCTTTCTTAAAAGCATGGTAAACTTTTAGCTTTTAGCTCAGGAGTAAACCTTTGACCTGGCCTAATCTCTTAGCCAGGGATAGCTGAGTTATTTGTTTAGGACAAGGAGATGAGCTAAGGGTTGTTGATCAAGATGCTTTCCCACAGAGCAGGGAGCCTGCACTTTTATGACCAGGCCGCCTCCTCCTGCCAGCCCAACAGTGTTCTGCAAGGCAGGGATTATCAGAGCCACTGTTTTCAGTGCCCCTCCCTTTAGCAGAGAATGCAGCCTGGACCTCACGTTATGGCCTGGCATCCTGGTTTCCTACAGTGCATGATACTGGAATCTCAGAGATGAATTGATTTTTGAAACCTAAAGTCAAAAGAGGGTCTGGAAACTGTCGAAAGTACGCTGACCAGAGTGGGGAGCAGGATAGAGCAAGGAAATGTTGGAAAAATAGCAGGGTCAGGCTGCTTCAGAGCCCAGGGGTTCTGTATTTAAAGCCTTAGGGACCTGGAGATGGCTTATCAGATAAAGACCTATGCTTCTCAAGGTTAGTGACCAGAGTTCGATTCTGAAACCCATATGAAGTGACTCCACCTACACAATAATTAAAAAATCTTTAGGGGCTGGAGAAATGGCTCAGTGGTTAAGAACACTGAATGTTCTTGCAGAGGACCAGGGTTCAATTCTCAGCACCCACATGGCGGCTACGAATCGTCCTTAACTCCAGTTCCAGGGGAATCTGAAGCCCTCTTCTGATCTCCGGTGGCATTGCACAACACGGGTGCACTCACATACATGCAGCCAATACACTCATACACATAAACTAAAAATAATAAACATTAAAAAAAAATTCTTGCTGGGTATGGTGGCGCACGCCTTTAATCCCAGCACGTGGGAGGCAGAGGCAGGCGGATCTTTGTGAGTTCGAGGCCAGCGTGGTCTATACAGTGAGTTCCAGGACAGCTGGGACTACAAGGAGACCCTGTCTCAAAAAAGACCAAAAGAAAAAAAAAAAAATCTTTAAAGCTAGGGCTAGAGAGATGGCTTATCAGTTAAGAGCACTGGCTGCTCCTGCAGAAGGCCTGGGTTCGGATCCTGACACCCACATGGCACCTAACAACTGTCCCTAACTCCAGTTCCAGGGGGGTCCAAACACCCTCTTCTGCCCTCCGAAGGCACTGCATGACAGGGCACACTTACATACAAGCAGGCGATACACAAATACACATTAAAAAAAAAAAAAAACAACAAAAAAACTACTTTAAAGCCTGGGGGAAGTGGGGAGTGTATTACATAACCCGTCATCATTTAAGAGGAGCCAGTTAAAACGGGGTCCTAAGGAAAGGCACTGAAGAAAACCTCAACAGTACCCTAACAGTTTTAGTTGACATTTCCGTAAAATGCCCTACATTCTATTTATTTTGAAAACAACCGTGCATCACGATTTGGGTTCCATATTTTCGTGTCCATTCCGGATATAACTGGAGATTCTAGAAAACCTGCCTCATGCGTCTGACATCTGGCTGTAAACCCTGAAGGTCTCATTGCCTCTTGAAGGGTCTAGCTGCCGGTGGCCCCCCGCGTCGCCGCCGGGCTGCGGTTCCTCCACTCCAGCAGGGGAATCATGGCGGCCGCGGGACGCACAGGTAGTCGCCCGGGCCTGGGCCGCGTAAGGCTGGAGGAGGAGCGGCCCAGGCGGGGCGGGGGCTCCTCTCCGCCTCAGTGTCGCCGGGACCGAGGAAATGTTGCCGCTTGGGCCGCGCTCGGTGCTGACTTATAGGATCCTAAGCTCTCTACTCCGCTCGGGGGTGCGCAGATCGTGGCCCGGTGTGCGGCCCCAGCACCGAGGCTGCGGCGGAGCCGGTGAAGTCCGGGCCCTGCCGGGAGTGCGCGGGGAGAAAGGCGCAGGCAGGCCGCGTGGGGAGCGCGGGCTGAAGGGAGGCTGATGCAGGAGCGCGAGTGCTGGAGCGGGAATCTCGGGGACGCGCGTGCTGCAGAGGGGAGTCTGGGAGCGCGCGGGCAGGAGTGGGAGTCCGGGAGCGCGCGTGCTGCAGAGGGGAGTCTGGGAGCGCGCGTGCTGGAGACGGGAGTCCGGGAGCGCGCGTGCTGCAGAGGGGAGTCTGGGAGCGTGCGGCGAGCGGCCTTGCCCGGGCAGCGGCCGGCGCAGGCCCCGCCCCTAGCGCAGGCGAGTCCATTGGGGTCCCTGAGGAGGGGAGGCCTAATGTGATGACGTCCGCTAGGCCGGGCACCGTGTCCCGATAGTTCTGAGGGGCCCACTCTGCCTTCTCGGGCCGTTTCCAGAAGGTCCCGCCTCGGTGGGATGCCACCCCCCGTCCCGCGCGGTAGGCTCGTCCGGGCAGGCCGCGGAGGGGCTGGCGGGAGATTTGCAGTTGGCGGGATCTGGAGCTCACCCTGTCCTCCGTTCTCTCGCCACCATGCCCTGCTCTGAAGAGGTAACCGTAAGCCCCCCAAGCAAGCAGGCCCGGCCGGAGGAGCCCACCTCCCGACTGCGCTTTGTGCGGCTCTCGGAGCACGCCACGGCGCCCACCCGGGGGTCCGCACGCGCTGCCGGCTACGATCTGTACAGGTGAGCGCACCTCGGCTGGTCAGCGCTGAGACTCTGCACCCCAGACCCTGCACCCCGAGGCCCACCATCCTCAGCCCCTGTAGCACAAGGCTTTGCACCCGGGCCCAAACCTTCACGGGAGAGATTACGGAAATACCTTTGTGTAGTCAATGTGGAAATAACTAATGTATAAGCAGTGGAAGTTATTAAGGTCTCCAGAGTGACTTCCAGTGCTGTAAAATATCTTATTTTTGTCTGGGAGGGAGCTACAATAATGGCGACATTAGCTTTGTTAGGTGGACCTTAGAGAATCCATTTCAGTGGTGTCCATCTGCAGGAGCAGATGAAATTAGTACTCTTCTTCAGCCAGTGACGTTTACGCCCATGCTCTGGTATATTTGCAGAACAGATGGAACACAGCTCTACCTCCTGCCCATGTTTCCTCTTAATGTTTTCTTCTGCGGCTTCATCTTCATCACAGAATTGTTCAGAGAGTAAGATGAGTTAGTGCTGACAGGCTAGAATTGTGCCTGGCCTGGAGTGAGGGCCTCATCAGTGTAAGCTATTATCGCCCCTTTATTTGAGTCTATTTTCTCTCCATACCGTGTTAATGAATTAATGTCTCCCTTTCTGCACCTCATGCTAATACCTTCCTCGGTTTCCCAACAACTGATTTCAGACACAAATATTCAGCAGTGGCAGTGTTGACCTTTTTCTCCACCGTAATATTTACAGAGAACTGTTACCTTAAGCTGTCTTTTTATCCTAAAACAAAATAATCTAGTACCTGTGTAATAAAACATTTTAGACGAATTAGTAATTTGTTATAAAATTAGTTAGCCGGGCATGGTGGCACACGCCTTTAATCCCAGCACTTGGGAGGCAGAGGCGGGCAGATCTTTGTGAGTTCGAGGCCAGCCTGGTCTACATAGTGAGTTCCAGGACAGCTGGGGCTACAAGGGGACCCTGTCTCAAAAAAAGACAAAAAAATAAAATTAGTTACAGGAGTAACTAATTAGAAGTAACTAATTAGAAGTTACTAAATGCATTGTCACAGGAAAGAATGTTGAGAACAGTTTATAAACAAATACCAATTTAATATCTTTTTAGTGCCTATGATTATACAGTCCCACCTATGGAGAAAGCCGTTGTGAAAACAGACATTCAGATAGCTGTTCCTTCTGGGTGCTATGGAAGAGTAGGTAAGTTATTTAAGGGCCAGGTAACTTTTGTCAAGTACTTCCATTATGATAAGTTCTCTCTTCTAGTGTCAACGTGGGTTAAAAATTGAAGAGCTACTGCTTGTGTCCTCAGATAATGAAATGCCATCTGGTAGCAGATACAGCCATTTGGAAGCTTCCACAGACCTCTGCTTTTGCCTCTTCTTGCCCTTTTCTCTTGCCTTTGTGAGCTTTTAGGAGGCTCATATTGGCCCAAGTGATGGTTCTTATAGCACTTCACAGAAAAATTGAGAGTATCTGATGCTTGTGTAAGAGAATAGGGGCTTAGAATGATGGCTCATGGCACTTTGTATTATGAGAGAAACTGCCAGATTATATGAACCCAGTGGACCTTCTAGATTGTCCTTGATGTCCTTCTAGGGGTTAGAGTAGGGGACGGTCTTGTGATCTAGAGACGTGCCTTATATTGACAAAACGTACTGTAAGTCAGTGGCTCAGATTTTCCTAGGGCTTGCCCCTTGTCTAGAGAGTGAATTCAAAACTTGTCAAGAGCATGCATACTTTTTTCTAACTTCGAACTAAGCATAAAAAGGGAAGGAAACTGCCTCTCCCTTGGCAAAGAGACCTAGACTAACACTATCTTGTTGTCCGTGTGTAGAGCTGCCGTTACTTTGGCCCTTTTACGATGGGTTTTCTCCTGGCCTCTGGCATCACTGACTATACTTTTAGAATTCAGTGGGAGAAAACTGAAGATGGATGAGGAAAACGTCCCAAGAGGAGGTGGCGTTTATTGACAAAGTGCCTGCTTTCAGTTGTTCTAAAATACAGAACTAGAAATGAAGATTATTGAGGTGGACCTGATGTTAAGTCAGCAAGTTTGAGGTATAACCTTGGCTTTTGTGGAGTTTTTTGTTTTGTTTCCATTTTCAGAATAACAGAATGTTCGAGAGTTAAATTTTGGAAGCATAGCTTTGGCCTCTTAATTCTCTAATATTAGACCTTTTATGTTACTCTGGTTTATATATTTCATAAAGATAGCCTCTTGACCTCTGTATCATGAGTAGAAGTTCCAAGTTGTGGACTAAGTCTGCTGTTGTTTGGTTAGGTTTATTTCTTCTCACTCCCCCTCTCTCCACCTGTTGACATGTTCAAGTCTCCCATCTTGAACCACAAGTTGAGCTAGCGAGATGGCTCAGTGAGTAAAGAACTTGCCAGAAAAACATGATAACCTAAGTTTGATCCCAAGAATCCACGCAAAGATGGATGGAGAGAACTGACTTCACAAAGGTGTCCTCTGACCTCCACATGTACACAGTAGCATGCATGCCCCCCTATCCTGTACACACAGAACAATAAGAGAGGTCATCGCTAGCCCCCTGCCACTGTCAGTTACAGTCTTTTAAGTTGGTTTTCAATAAATGATCTTGAATTTTTCTAAATTAGTCTTTCCGACTTTGGTAGCATAACATGGTAAGTATCTTCTTTAAAAATGATCTGCTGAAATTAAGATGCAAATATAGACAATAAAAGGGAGGGCGATGCTTAAGTTGCATTAAATGTAATGTATCTGTTACTTCTCCTCTCCAGTTAAATACCCACTGTCTTCCTATTTTGTTTTTAGCTCCATGTTCTGGCTTGGCTGTAAAACACTTCATGGATGTAGGAGCTAAGAGATTTATTTCTTTATTCTATAAATGTATTTGTCTTTGCTTTAAAGGTAACGTGTTCAAATGTCAGGTTTTATTTTTATTGTCAAGAAATGAAATGAATTTTCTTGTGTCTGTGCCTCTAGGATTTCTAAGTTTGAAGTAATAGGCAGTTATGATATGATATAGTTTCAAGTACTGTTTGGTAATGTGTAGTTTGTAACGCTCATTGTGTGAAATGTCTGTTATTTTACTAATAAGCAGGTACTGAAAGGTTTTGCTTTGCTTCAGTATAATCTGTATTTAGTGCAAAATTGACCCTTAGACTAGGAAAAGCTTTTGCATGATTATTTTAAGCAGTCATAGTTTGCTTAAACAGTTTAAACAAAAGATTCTTGAAATGCAGACCTGTTTTGTAAAAATTTTCTTACTCTGTAAGAAAGGACACCCTTGTCATGAAAAATATAACAAGGTAATTCTTTCTCCACAGTAAGAAGAGAAAGCTTGATGCTTCTGTAAATTTCTTCCCTTGTCCTTACTATTTCCCTTACACCTTTGTCTTCCAAAGTTATTTTCTCCATGTGGCTCCAGGCATGGAGAAGCCTCAGTGTCCTCTGCTAGCCATGTCCTCACTGTAAGGAAGGTCTCACTTTCCTGATAGGATTCTTTTGTTTCTGATCTCTTGTTGGGGCACAAACTGCACTGATGTGGTCCCAGTGTCCTGACTCTTCTCTGACCTCATCTGTAGTGTTTCACCTTGGCCCTCGGTTATATGGGTATGCTACCTTCCCTTGTATTTTTACAGAACTATGTCAAGCTGGTTTTTAAGAGATGAGGAAACTGTCCCAGAAATGTGGTTCCAGCACCATTGTTCTTCCCATTGCACTCAAGCTGCCCGTCCCCTCACTACCTGTGTTGGCTGTTTGCACCTGTATAGGGTTAAACAGCACATGATGAAGCCTGACTGTGGGGACTTGCCTACCATTAGTGCAACATCATGTTGTATGTTGAATGTTGAATGTCTCCCATGGTGTCACTAGGTGGTGCTGTGGGGTAAGGTAGAGGCCCAAAACTGCACAGCAATTCATACTGACAGTCTACTCCTGGATTGAGGATTCCCAGAGTTTAATGAGTTACATTTAATTTTCAAAAATACTTTTTACCAATTCAAATATGAAATGTGGTCACTTGGAATATACTTATAATTTAATTTAAGATCATAAAAGATATATTTTTATTGAATTTCAAAAGGGTTTGAAAGGAACACAGACTCTGGGCCTGTTTCCTCATCAGTATAATAGAAGTTAGTACGTCCGTCTCTGAGGGGTAGCAGGGTTAAATAATGTATGTGGCACATCTGCCATAGTGTTTGGCATATGCTAATTCAGATGATCATTTCCATCTCTGACAGATGTCACAAAATTTTTTTTTTGGTCTTTTTGAGACAGGGTTTCCCTGTATAGCCCCAGCTGTCCTGGAACTCACTGTGTAGACCAGGCTGGCCTTGAACTCACAGAGATCCGCCTGCCTCTGCCTCCCAAGTATTGGGATTAAAGGTATGCGCCACCACGCCTGGCTCAAATTTTTTTTTTTTTTTTAAATGTTGAAACTTTTTTCCTCCAAATTTGTTTCTAACGGGTATGGAATTGGAAAGTTAGTTTGCATGGTGGTTGGTATGGGGTTATTCATAAAATCACATTGTGGTATGTTCTCGGATACAGAATATCTTTAAAAATGTCTCCTAGGTACAAGTTTATCATAGTTGCCAACTGAATAGTGTTTCTCTTAGAAATCCCAGGTTGTAAATAAGGGTCAAAGGGAAAAGTTGACTATGCAAGATTGTGGTTAGAAGCCACATTGGGTAGGTGTGGATAATTTTCACTGAAGAGGTTTCCAACAATGACGTGCCGAAGTCTTGACACTATAAAACTTGCCTGAAGCCAGGTAACCACTGCCAGCTCCAATGCATGATTTTTCCAGGGGTACCGTCATGATACTTGCTGCTTTCTCTGAAAGACATGTCCTCACTGCTTACAGTCGTTACGCAGAGAAGGGATACATCTTGGGTTTGTTTTCCTTCGTCTGTTTTTGCGTTATGAGATAGTGCCTCACACATACCAAGCAAGTGCTGTGCCACTATATCCCCACTCCTCCTTTTACTTTTTTATGAGATAAAAATCTCACTAAGTTACCGAGGCAGGTCTTGAAATCACACTGTAGCCCAGATAGGCCTTGAACATGGCAGTCTTCCTGCCTTAGCCTCCCAGGTAGTTGGTCTTTGCCGCCAGGGCTGGCATTGTTTTTGTTGTTTAGTTGCTTATTTTACTGTGCTGAAGATTGAACCAGAGCCCTGTAGTAGGCAAGCATTCTCCCACTAAGCTACATCTCCAGCCCTTAGGGTTTTCTTAAAATTTAAATAGCAGTTGAGCCCTGCTGGGCATGGTGGCGTATCCCTTTGATCCCAGCACTCCAGGGGCAGGGGCAGGCGCAAGCGGATCTCTGTGCGTTCAAGGCCAGGCTGGTTTACATAGCAAGTTCCAGGTCAGCTGGGGCTACAGGGAGACACTGTCTCAGAAAGACCAAAAACAAAAGTTAAATAGCAGTTGAATAAATGAATCTGAATTTTTGTATGGCATTGACATTCATGCTAAAAGATTTAATTGGAAGCCTTCTTTCTACCATACATTTTCTTAAAATTTTTTTCATTACATTGATTTGTGTATATGGGGGTGGGAGCATGTGTTATGACATGCATGTGGAGGTCAGACAACTTGCAGATATCAGTTTTCTCTACCACATGAGTCCTGGGGAACAAACTTCATCAGGCTTAGCAGGAAGCACTTTTTCCCACTGGGCCATCTTGTCAACCCACCTGCCATTCATTTTGATGGACTCAAATGACTTTGAGTCATAATTTTCAGATTCCAAGCATATAAAATGAGTAGGCCCGGTAGAATTGAAGATATCTAACTAATTGAATACGCTCAATAGGAGTACTTTGCAGACGTGCCGATAGGCCTTTACATAAAGGGAGTATTTTATAGTAGAAAATTACCGTACTTGCAACTCATGTAAAAGAACACATAGAAAAAATCATAGACAAATTATAGAAACAGGTTTGGCATACAAGTGTCCAGTGTACACACAGAAAGAAACATGCCCAGTTACAAGGAATGGAAGGTAAGGCACAAGGTGCCATTTTTACTGGTCATGTTGGTATTACCAAGGTTTTAGAAATGGACATTTCCAAATGGTTCTGGGAAAGGTTTGAATGACTGTGCCTTTTTTGCAGTTATCTAGCAATAGCCTACAACACAGACAGTATATATGTCCTTTGACCCAGGAATATGTGTGGTTTTAGTTTTTTGAGACAGGGTCTCTCCTTGTAGCCCCAACTGGTCTAGAAATAGCTATGTAGATCGGGCTGCCCTTGATCTCACAGAGATCCATTTCCCTCTGCCCCCTGAGTACTAGGAATAAAGGTGTACACCACCATGCCTAGCTTGATGAGCATTAATGTCAAGGATATATGTCAAGGGTTGTTTTGTGTATTATAGCAAAAATGTGAAGGCACTGTGAGTGTTTGGTGTTATATAAAATGAGTTACAAGCCAGGTGTGGTGGTGCACTCCTTTAATCCCAGCATTCGGGAGGTAGAGGCAGGCAGATCTCTGAGTTCAAGGCCAGCCTGGTCTACGTAGTGAGTTCCAGGACAGCTGGAGCTACAGGGAGACCCTGTCTCAAAAAGACCAAAAAAAAAAGAGTTACATAGAAGTAATGGGACTTCTACATACTGTGCCTAAAAGGAAGGAATGACTGAAAATTTTAAATATATATATATATTTGTTTTAAAGGATAACTGATTCTTTTGGGTGGAAAAATTAATGCGTAAACTTTATTGCTGTAATATTGGCTTTTAACTTGTATGCAGTGCTACTTTTGAGTAATATGGTTTTCTATTAAAGTACATAGTAAAGAATTCATAAGTCAGTCCAGATCATCTTTCTCACAGGTGGCTTCATTAACCTGTTCCTCAAAGACCTCCTAGCATGGAAATTCCCCAGCCTTCTGTGGTCATTCCTTCTAGCATGAAACAGCATGCTTTATACTGCAGAATTTCCTCATTAAGTACAAGCACTCAAACTTTCTCCATAGAGATAATGTGAGAACAGTTGGCTCAGTTTTCATAAGTATTAAGAAGCAAATCAATGGTCACCTGGTGGTAAGGAATGAAACCAGGGTGAAGTACTTCAATTTCACTTGTCCCTAATACTTTTTAAATTTTATTTTTAATTTAGGTATATGAATGTTTTGTCTGTATGTATATAAGTGCACCACATGCATGCAATACTGTGGAAGCTAGAAAAGGGTGTCAAATCCCCTGGAACTGGAGTTCTCGATGGTTGTTAGCTGCCACGTGGGTGCTGGGATTTGAATCCAGGTCTTCTGCAAGAACAGCCAGTGCTCTTAACCACTGAGCCATCTCTCCAGCCCCCTTTACAAAAATTAAAAAAATTTTATTATTGTGTATATGTGGGTGCATCTGCCACAGCATCCATGTAGATGTCAGTGAACCACTTTGTGGAATTAGTTCTCTCCTTTCATCTTTATGTGAGTTCCAGTGTAGACTCAGGTTGCCAGGCTTGTGGAGCATGGACCTTTACCCACTGAGCCCTTTGCCAGCCACCCCCACATTGTTTTTCTTTGACCTTCGAGTAATTAGAAGTAGGTTGACCAGCTTTAGCATCCATTGAGCTAAGTTTCTGACCTTCCTACTCCTTGCTTCTGTTGGAAATGGTTTTTCTGGGGGAGGGGGTATTGTGTTGGAAGGGAAGGTTGGAAGAATAGTGAGTAATGTGAAATGGAGCTTTCATACTTTCACAGACTAAGTAGAATTAATATATCGTAGACAGCTGGGAAGGGGAGATAGTGATTGCTAATTCCAGAGATTTATTTCTGGAGTAATAAAAAATATTCTAAAATTGATTGTGGTGAAGTTTTTGTAATTGTGCATGCACTATAATCTAATGATTGTACACTCCATATTAAAAGAAGCGAGGAGTGTATACCTACATTATCTTGTGTAGACATGTTAAGTTACTGTCCCAAAAATAATTTGGTGAATATATCTTTCTGCGCCATGGCAGGGACCTAGCTCAAGTCCCCTGCAAAGATTCGCTGTTTTTGTTTATGGTATCAAATAGGCACTATCTATGTATTTAAAAATGAAGTTGGGCTAATGAGGTGGTTTGACGGTTAAGGTGCCTGCTTCCAAGCCTGAAGACCTGAGTTCAGACCCTATGGTAGAAGGAGATTTGACTCCCACAAATTGTTCTCTGACCTCCGCGTTTGTGTCATGGCACCCACATGCACACACGCAAATAGATGTAATAAAATTTTTAAATGAACTCATAAATCATGAGTAAGAGTGAACTTGTTAAACTTCTGAGCTAATGTTTTCTGCAAAATTGTGGTTTTAAATCAGATTGTGGTTCCAATTAATGGCTCAGTGGTTAAGAGCACTGACTGTTCTTGCACTGACTGCTTTTGCAGAGGACCCACGTTAAGTTCTGCTCCATTTTTTTATGCAAATGGACTATTCTGATAATTGCAGGACTCTGGTTAATAGTATTTCCCCTGCAGTTTTTCAGGCTTTTGAGTATTTTTAATTTATGATTCAATCATGCTTCAATAAGAATATTAGTGGGAAGCTGCTATCAGGAAAAACCTTCAAAGCCCCAAATCAGATTTCTCCTAGTCGATTTAACAAATGTGCAGTGGATAGCTAGCTGGTAGGGTGGAGGTGATAGTTGCTCCTCCCAGCTTATAGGAAATGCTCACTGAGATAAACTTCCAGGATGGAAAATGAGGAAACATTTTCTAAATTCTTATATTTTAGTAATGCCATTTCCGTTTTCTGACTTTACATAGGACCAGAGCAAAATTCACTTACTCGATTGTAAGAATAAGAATCTCAGAGCTACATAAGAATGATTTTGAGATAATCTTATACTCTGGTGTAATGGTATAATCAAGACAATTTTCTTTCCTCCAGCTGGTGTCATAGATGAAGATTATAGAGGAAATGTTGGTATTGTGCTGTTTAATTTTGGGAAGGAGGAGTTTGAAGGTGAGTTAAATATGCATGCACATACATAATAAATTTTCTGAGTTATCCATTGTATGAGTTGTCAGTAGAACTGACTGTGGGTTCTCATTGACTAAGACAGGATACAGAGAACACATCAATTCATCACACTAGTGATCTGTCTCTGTTTTTTCTTTGAAGTAAAAAAAGGTGATCGAATTGCACAGCTCATTTGTGAACGGATTTTCTATCCAGAATTAGAAGAAGTTCAGGTAAGTGTGTAAAAGCTGAGTGGAGAGTGACGGGGCTGACATCAGGAACAAAGAGAGTGTCTGACAATTTATTTGTAACTGAATAGTGTGTGTGATAAGTGCTGTTTAAGCATGGCTAAATTGTTTTAAAGTCGGGATGTTTTCATGCAGATCTTAGGCAGCGTTTCAGACAGTAGCAGATGGTGTAGCAAGGACTTTAGGAGCCCTGGAGACCAAGGGAGGACCTTACCTGTAGCTTACTCTTTCTGTCATGTCTTTCAGGCTTTGGCTGACACTGAAAGGGGTTCAGGAGGTTTTGGTTCTACTGGAAAGAACTGAAATTTTGGCCAAGAATAAAAAATGAAAGAAACCTGTTTTTTCTGAAAAAATAAAGATTTACTTGAAGTATTTTGGTGTTTCCACATTGTAAATAATAGCTTTATCTTCTATAAGTACTTCATTTCCTTAGATGAAGACCTGTCAGGATCACAGAGGCGGCTTTGTTCTCTGCAGTTGATGACTGCTTGTAAATCTGTGTTGTGGTGATATAATGCAAACTTTAAGACCAAATGGATGATTACAGATTTTTATTTTGTGTATGAGTGTTTGATGTGCATGTAAGTACACCCATGTTGTGCAATGCCCATAGAGGCAAGAAGAGGGCATCAGATCCCCTGGAACTGGAGTTAAGGACAATTGTTAGCCACCATGTGCGTTCTGGGAACTGAATCCTGGTTTGAGCTAGTTGGCCAGAAAGCTAGTTGGCTGGTTAGAGGGGGAGCCCCTAGGCTTTTGTTACAGACCAAGAAAACAGAAGTATGCCATTTTTATTATTTATCAGTGGCCTTTCCCTATCTGCCTGTCTGAAAATATGACTTGTTCTTAGTCCTTCATTGTGGGTCCCAAGGATTGAACTCAGGTCCTCAGGCTTGATGGCAAATGTCTTTTTCCCACTGTACCCTATCTGTACCCCGTACCAGGCCTGGCTTTTACATGGGTGCTGGGAATCCTTATGCTGAGTGGCCGGTGTTTGACCAAGTGAACCGTCCCCCAGCTCCTAGTTTTGTACTTTAATCCTGGAGTCAACTTGTTTTCTTAATTTCATAATTTCATTTTTGGATTGTTCATGGATGGTGCATAGTAGCTTTTTATACCTTGTGTGTGAGCCTCTCAGGGGTCTGGACTGGTTTTCTAGGAGGTGAAAATCTTTTGCTACTGGGGCTTTACGCATGCTTGGCTGTGTGGTATTCCAGTTAGACTTGATAGCAAAGGGAGACAAGAATTGTCATCCATTAACCATCAGAAAGGAAACTGGAGTTCACTCATGGCCAATGGAAGCATTGTTTGGGTCTGGTTAAGACCACTGGCTGCTCTTAAGAGGACCTAGGTTCAATTCCCAACACCTACATGATGGCTAACAACTCTCTGTAACTCGAGGATCCAATGCCCTCTTCTGGCATCTGCAGACACTGCACAACATGCAGACAAAACACATAAAGAAGCTCTGTCGATGAATTCACCTCCGCAGTTTGTAGAAGCCACGTAGTACCTTAACAGCTGCTCGAGTGAGGTACTGAGGCCCAAGCTGGGGTTTCATAGCACTGTGCACAGTTCTTGCTGTCACATGGCTATCACCATGTCACCTATAAGGTTCTGTCCTCACTTTACGTCTTCCTCTGTTTTATCAATGGAAATGCTGCAGTACAGGCACCTGGTGTTGTGCAGAAGAACTGTCAGAACGTGCAGTTTCTGAGCTTTGGAAGGAACTGGCACAACTGCGCACTGAGTAGTCTTTCCTGCCAAGTGATGAGAAATTAAACTTTGTTCAAATGACTTTCAGCCTCCTACATACCATAAAGATCACGACTTAATGAATAGCGCTGAAAGGCAACTTTGCAGCCACCTGTGGGGAGAGGCGTAGGTTCAGGTGCAGATGAATAGCACTGATGGCTGGCTGTGTAAGCCGTGTAACAACTGAGAATCAAATGGTCTCAGAACTCACTGAAGTGGCCTTTCCCAGCCCACTCCCCATGGAGTGGAAAGCAGGATGCAGAGCGCATAATCACCACAGATGTGCTGTAAGGTGACAAGGACGGTGATTGAGAGTCACTAGGCAGGAAGGACCCAGAGTTCATCAACATACACCTGTGTGGCTGGCCGCTCAACCTGAGTAGTGAAGATAACACGTCCAGCCCAAGCCAGTGTTGCCTTAATGGCTGATGCAGTGACAACAGGGAGGAATGGGAATACTGCCCTGGAGGCCACTCTGAGTTTCAGGAAATCCCTTGTACAGCACCAGGCACCCAGAGCACTCTGGAGCAAGGCTGCACTGAAGAAGGCCCCAAGTTGCCATGAGAGGGGGCCTGGGCTCTGTCTGCTCCTACCTTGATTGGCTTCTGGCTGCAGGGAGCTTAGAGGAAGTGGGGGTGAAGATTCAGAAGTGTCGGCAGCTGGGTGCTCAGCCACTGGACAGATGATAAACCACCTTTTCCCTGTGTGCAGGACTGAGAAACAGAACAGAAAGAGGTGCTGAGGGAGCCAGTGTCTCCAGATCAGAGGACCCCACTGTTACACCAGATCCCATGGGGACCACTAGGAAACTCCACCTATTTCTCCAGAAGGTGTGGGTAGGGGACCCCAGTTCCCACTTAGAATCCTAAATAGCTTCCCTCCACAACTCAGGTGGCCCTCTGGACCCCTTGATGCAGAGGCCTCAGGGAGAGGCTCCTATCTGTTCTCTCTCTCAGAGGGGTGTGTGGTGGGCAGCTAGCCCAGGGTGCCTCACTGGCAGCTGGAGACTCTCAGGGGAGCTTGGCTGGGGTTCATTTCCTGGCATACCCATGGCATCAGCCTTGATGGAAGTAATGTCAGTCAGAGAGGGGTGGCAGCTGGGATAGGACAGCCCTTCCTAGCTGAGGGACCCTCTTCATCACTCACTCCTGCAGCCCTTCTGGTATGGTGGCCAAAACTCTGCCACTATGTTCAGTAGGGGACTTCTATCAAATACCTGTGTTATGGGAAAATCAGACCAGCAGCCAAAGTCAGGTGAGGAGAGGGATTTAATTTTACGCTAGTGGACTGACCCAGGGATCCTTCCATAAAGGAGCCAGTACCCCCCTCCAGTTTTAGGGGTTTTTATTTTCATGTGAGGAAGTACAAGTAAAAGACTAAGCAGCACATAGGTGGCAATTAAGTAAAAGGTACATGTGATAATTAAGCAATGTAACATATGGCTGCAGGGGTTACAAAAGACTTCTATCCTGGGTCACCACAGGAGGTGGGGGAGAAGACATCTTATCTCTTGTAAAGGCGCTCTTTCTGCTCCAAATTTGGTTCTTAATTACCATCACATTGCAAAAGCATTCTGCCTCCATAATATCCCCTCTGCTTTATTGACAATCCCTTATGTTATTTAAGAGGAAATTTAAGATATTTTGACTTACCTGGCATTTGAGGGCCTCTACTTATTTTTGATAAATTTAGTGAGTTCATTTTCCAAGGTTTTAACAGGAACGCTAATAGAACCATCACTACTGGTTCTGTTAGTGAGGCGAGCCAGGGACCTGGAGTTTTCTAGGTATCTTTTCAGGAAGACTCATTTTCCTCTTTTCACGCCTTTATTTTCTCTAGTAGCTGTCTTGTATTTTTCTAGCTCTGCAGGTTTGATTTACATAAAAACAGTACACATACCTCCTTTTTATGGTTCTGACATCTTTAGTCTTAGAGATAAGCTCACTGGCAGACCCGAGGAATTTTCCAGCTTTCAGTTGAGAAAGAAACTGGTCATTTTTCTTTTGGAGTCTTCACTTTAAAACTGTCTAATTTTTACCTTTTATGTTTATTACTTTGAAGAGGTAACCCAATTTGCCCATGGGAAATCGGGATGCAGACCGCTCTGTCTTCTTCCATGCTGAACAGGGACTTGGTGTGGCAATTGGGGTACCCCTTTAGTGGGTCTATCTAAAAGATTCTCAAATTGCATAAGTTTTAACTGTAGGGAGAAAAGAAAGTCCTTGACCAATTCCTGGGCGATATGGAGAAGTAAAGGCAAGAATAGTTAGTATCACAAGTTCTAGACTGGGAACTAGAAAAAATCAGAACAGGGCAAATTTTAAATGTCCAAATTAAAGGCCATTGAAGTTTCTTGATGAGGACCTCCAAAAGCATCCATCTATTGGGTTCCTCATTTTTCTTTTGGCCGCCAAGGCTGGACTTGAGAGGGATGAACTCAGGATTTGTTTTCAGGCACTCTGATGGAGTGGCTAGAATCAGTCTTCTAGACAGGGAGAGAAAATAAATTTAGCCATCATTTTAGAACAATAGTAGCTGCAGATGAGCACTACAGTATTGGAGACCAAGATTTGAAGTCTTAGACCTGAGCAGCATTTTCATGTTAAGAACAAAATCACTACTGAGAAATAATTGTCTAAATAACATTTAACCTGGACTTAAGTCTGATGTCTGGGAAATGCAATCCTTTGGACTCTTAAAGAAATATACTGATCACTTTAATTTTTGGTTATATTTTCCTTTTGGGTGTTCAAGACCATACAGTTGGCCCAAATAAACCAGTTTACTTTTACTTTAAGGTTGGTTGAGGATCTGGTCCTCAGGGGTCACATGGGATTGGGAGGAGCCTCTGGTTCCTTAGGCCTTTTTACCAGTTCCATCTACCTGAAGATAAGTCCTGCTTGACCAGGGCTTTGCTTGGAAGCATGGAGGAAATGCTTCCTCTGTGTTGACCCTCTTTGCAGACTGGACACTGGTTTGAGTCCCTCTAGTGGGGTCTCCATGACCTCCCTGAACAAGAGGACAGGTGACTCATCACAGTTACAGGACATATCAAGAGATTCCCATAGTCCCCTGGGACATTATCAACCTTCCAGGGCAAGAAACAAAATTGTCCCTTAAACCCTTTTGTCCAGATTAGTATGGGCCTTTAAGTATGGTTATTAACCATCCAAGAAGGTCAGTTGCACCAGCCTGGTACCTTTAATTACTGTGTAATATATAGATAAAGCTTGAACAAAACCCAAACATTCTAAAATAAACATTGGCTGGAAGGGATTTGCCATCCAGGAAAGGAACCTTAAAACAAGAATTTAAGTCTGTCTCAAATGAAGGCTGTTCTATTACAAACAGAAGCAGTCTCCTTTCCTTTCCAGTTTCCCATACCCTGATTTGCAGTTTTCAGATTAAGATAATATAATGAGTTAACATTAGCCATGTACACACTGTGCTTTAAGTTCCCTGGTAGACCTTATAGAAAACAAAACCATTCAAATATTTTCTTCGTGTAGTTCAGAGATTGGTCTATCAAAGAAGGCGTATAAACACAAGGTAAAGAGAAGCAACTGGTACACAATCTCCAGCATAATCACTTATGGAAAACCGTGCTAAAACCCTGT